CCCCAAAACCCCAAAACCCCAAAACCCCAAAACCCCAATTATATTTAAGTACATTGAAGGTATATATTATTCCAAGAGAAAAAAACATGAATTCTCAGGAAGAAATAGATAACACAAATAACGACATGGGGAACTTTGAAGTCGAGCCAAGTGCTTTGATTGACCTTGTTGAAGCCTACAGAAACAGAAAGTTTGTTGAAGACTTAACCTATGTGGATGAGAAATTCAGCGACGTTGAAAAACTTGCAGACAAGTTGAAGTCTTCCTTGGACCATGGTATCGAAGGTAATGACTTCCAGAAAAGAGAAGAACACTTTGGAAGCAACGAGAAAGAGCCTCCTCCAAGAAAAGGAATCTGTAAGCTCTTCTTGGAAGCCCTTGACGATTTAATGCTTAAGATACTGATTGTGTCAGCCATCATCTCAATCATCATCTCCATGATCTTTGCAGACAATGACGATAGACCAATTGCTTGGGTTGAAGGAGGAGCCATTCTTTTAGCTGTTGCAGTTGTAACTGGAGTCACTGCCTGGAATGACTATCAGAAAGAGAAGCAGTTCATGAAGCTCACTGAATACAGTGACTCGAAGAACAACTTCACAGTTCTTAGGAATGGAGTCCAAGAAGAAATCAACTTTGACGACATCAAAGTTGGAGACCTAGTTGCAATTAGAACAGGCATGAACATCCCTGCAGACGCTATTCTAATCAGAGGAACTGGTGTTACTTCTGACGAGTCAGCAATAACCGGAGAAAATATCGAACTTAAGAAAGAACCTATTGAACAGTGCAAGATGAGGCTTGAAGAGAAACAAGAAGAGGAAAAGTTCCTCTGTAATGCGCTTGAGCGAACTAACCACGATATTCCATCTCCAATCTTGCTGTCAGGTACCCAGATCGAAACAGGTGAAGGTTGGTCCATGGTCATCGTTGTTGGTAAGGAATCTTGTGTGGGTAAAATCTATGCAAAGCTGTCACAAGAAATCGAAACCACACCACTTCAACTTAAGCTAAATAAAATTGCAGCAGATATTTGATACCTAGGAATGTTTTCTGCAGCCATCACACTTATTGTGTTATTTGGACGATTCTTCATTGAGCAGTTAATTGACGGCTGGGATGGAGGCGACATTGGTGACTACCTTGAAGAATGGTTTGAGTACATTCTCATTGCTGTTACAATCGTTGTGGTTGCAGTGCCAGAAGGGCTACCGCTTGCAGTTAAGATTGCACTTGCATACTCTGTCAGAAATATGCTCAAAGACCAGAACTTCGTCAAGAGACTGTCATCATTCGAAATCATGGGTGGAGCCAACAACATTTGCTCTGACAAAACAGGCACTCTGACCAAGAATGAAATGGCTGTCAAAGAAATGTGGGTGGGTGGTCTTCAAAGCCTTGACAATGAGCTACAAGAGTACACCATTGGAGACTACATTCGTGACAAGAAGCATGCAGACTTGTTCTTACAAGGACTTTCATGTAACACCATTGGCACATCCAAAGAAGCCAACGCCACCGAGAAAGCCATTTTGAAAATGCTTGACAAGTTCGGATGTGATTACCAAGACTTGAGAGGCCAACATTGCAAAGACCCTCTGACTCGGTTCCAGTTCACTTCGAGACGCAAGAAAATGAGCACAGTCTTAACTGAAATTGATGATAACGAGTTTGGCTATGACAAGCGACTCCATATCAAAGGTGCTGCCGAGTACGTCCTGGCCAACTGCACACACTATCTCAACGAGCAAGGTGAGAGAGTCGAGCTTGACCCCACCACTAAGAACCATCTCATCAAAGACGTTATCAAAGGCTTTGCCGAAAGAGCCATCAGAACAATATGCTGTGCATACAGAGACTTGAAGCCTGAAGATGGAGGCCTTGCTCATGATGAAGATGCCGAAAATGGTGTCAGTAAAGTCGTAGAAACATTCTTGACATGCATTTGCATTCTCGGAATCAGAGATGTCATCCGTCCAGAAGTCCCAGGTGCTGTAGAGAAGTGTCAACATGCAGGCATCAGAGTCAGAATGATTACTGGAGACAATCAAGACACTGCCCTTGCCATTGCTAAAGAGTGTAACATCATCGTCGAAGAGAAAGAAGACTCCATCATGACTGGGCCTCAGTTCTATGAACGTGTAGGAGGACTCTACTGTAAAAACTGCAATGAAGATTCTCCATGTAAGTGTCCAGAAAAGAATATCAAAGAAGCTGTCAAAAACAAGAAAGAATTTGCGAAGATCCATCAAAACCTGAGTGTGTTGGCTCGGTCTCGACCTGAAGATAAGTACTTACTTGTCACCGGTATCAAAGAAATGGGAGATGTAGTTGCAGTCATTGGCGATGGAATCAACGACGCGCTAGCACTCAAGAAAGCAGATGTTGGATTCGCTATGGGCGTCACTGGAGTAGATGTGGCCAAGCATGCTGCTGACATCATCCTGCTCGATGACAATTTCGCTTCCATTGTACAAGCCTGCATGTGGGGTAGAAATATTTATGACAACATCAGACGCTTCTTGCAGTTCCAGCTTTCTGTCAATATTGTTGCTCTGACAACTGCTTTTATTGGAAGTTGCATTTTGCGAGAATCCCCTCTGCAGCCCATCCAGTTGTTGTGGGTGAACCTGATTATGGACTCGCTGGGTTCACTAGCCGAAGCCACTGAGAGGCCAACCGAGAAGCTGTTGAACAGGCCACCGCAGTCTCGTGACGACTACATCATCTCTCACAAAATGGTCAAGCACTTGATCATTATGGGAACCTACCAGTCAATCGTGGTCTTTGTGTTGATATTCTTGGGTGAGTTCTTGATTCCTGAAGACTCTGACTACCACCCTAACACCGATGGAAAGTACGTGTATCCAGGCAGAGCCTACTCATGGGACGGTAAAGACCTCTACAGAAAATTCACTGAATTCGATGATGACAAAGGCCCGAGCAGACACTACACTGTGGTCTTCAACGCCTTTGTGTTCATGCAGATTTTCAACATGATTTGAGCCAGAAAGATCAATGATGAGTTCAATATATTCGAGGGAATCCATGAGAACCCCATTTTCTTGATAATCTTGGCCATCATCACGTTCATTCAGATCATTCTGGTGCAGTTTACTCAGGATGTATTTCAGGTTGCAAGAAAGGGACTCCACTGGCATCAATGGATCCTGTGTATTGGAATAGGACTGACAGTGTTCCCAGTCAATTTTATTACAAAGCTTTTACCAGACAGATTCTTCCCTGAACTTGGTAAGAAGAAGACAAAGAAGGTTCACAACATGACTGCCGGAAGAGACCCTGAAGATATTAACGATCCTGAAGAGCAAGACGAAATTATGCTGGAAAGGAACAACAACTAGAAACCTGAATATTTCCTCATATTTTAAGTTAAATTGACTATCAGGTCGCCTTATTTTCCCAAATTCAACTTATCTCTCTTACAAAGGGGTTTTGGGGTTTTGGGGTTTTGGGGTTTTGGGGTTTTGGGGTTTTGGGG